TTGACCAAGATGACAGACTATATCCACCCATCCATCTCTTGGAAACCCATCCGTAAACAGCTTCCAACAAATAAGATATTCCAATTTAACACAGCAGGGCCATGGAAGGGCACGGGGGCAAAAGGCAGAGGGGCTGGAAACGTAACTGTACATTTTGACATTAAATGAATTACATGGAAATTATATGCAAATCATTATGTAAATGTGGCATATGTTGTTTTTGAGTTAACAGCTTGGACACTTTCAATAATTACAGAATTTTTCAGGGTGAATTAAGAGCCCTAATAAACTAGATTTAGGCTCCACTACAGATGAACAGGATTTAATGATCTTTGTTTTTCATTTTTAGTGTCTCAGGTTAAAGAGAAACTTGAAATTCTCTCTCTTAGTCCTATAAAGATCACTATATATTAGATAATATTCTTTTGATGACAATGACAATTTATGACAATTAATAAGCACATTAATGCCAAACTCCTTTGAAAATACAGACTTCTCAAGAGAGTACTGCTTTATCTTATTTTATCCTTTTGTACCTTGTGAACAGATGTAAAAGATTAAAATGAAATATCCTTTTCTCTATTGCATTATTCTTCCATAATTTAAGAAAAAGAAGCTACACATCACGTAATAAGGTGTCCTGCCATTATGCCATTATTCCTTCATACCGAGCAGTTGACTGGAATACCCCTAACCTATTCTTTCACCTAAAAAGGAGATATGGGATTTTCAATTCTTTCTTCCTCAATCTTGCAAAACCTCCTCAAAAAGTTTATTTTCTTTATTTTTATTTTTAGCCTTTATGAGTACATGATAGTTGTCCATATTTATGGGATACATGAGATATTTTGATATAAGCATACAATGAAAATGTTTATTTTCTGAGAAAACTTAGCCACAGCCCACACAGGGTAGGTATAGACAGTGAAAAAAGGGCTTTCAATTTCCTTCGCAGACCGTCATTTGTGGGAATATTTTGGATGAGATAACCTGAAGAATCTCTGGTTACAAAACCCCCAGGAATGCTGGATGACATATAATGAACATCCTTTTAAATGCAAAGCTGAGCTTGAAAAAAAAAAATCAGGGAAATCCCCGAAGGCTTAAAACAAAGAAGCATTTGAAGTCTTAAGGGTTATGTGAGAACTGATCCCGCAGCTGGCCCGGGATGGGGTTCAGGGTTGCCACGCTGGGCAAGATGGGAGCTTAGGCTTTCACAGCCATACAGGGACAGGAGTTAAGTCTTTTTGTCTGCGTGAGGCCAGGACACTCAAAGAGCTACACCCTCAGTCACAGGAGAGACTAGCAAATATTCTCTCCAGCACGAGAAGATAAAACAGCTTAACTGTCTAGACCTAGGCCTGAGTGGGTAAAAAATATAAGTATCTCCCATGAGAATTAAGAACTATAAGACTGACTTTGCTCTGGTTCATTCTGGAACCCACAAGTTGAGTGATCTCAAGCTGGGACTAGCCCCAGGGATGCTTGGCAGATGTAAACAAGCACACTAGAAGGACATATTCCCAAACAAGCCCCAGTAAGAGTCCCACACAAAAAAACTCCACTAAAGATGATGTCACAATACAAAATTACAAAACACAGGAAGGAAAAGGCAGCCTCCCATGCACGCTCAAAGTTGGGCCTCAAGGTATCTCCTCCAGCGGCCAGAGGTAAATAGGCTGATAACTTAAAAAGAAACTCATCTCTTCACCACCCGGATAGACAAACCCTGCCAAATGTTTTACTCCCCCCATAAATATCGTTTCTGGTGGGGGACCCTTCATAATCTCCACGTGAACAGCCAGGCAAAAATCAGAGAAAAGGGGAATATCTCATGTTTGTTATGGTGGATGGCAAGGTGGCCATGAACCCCAAATCCCCAAACCCCCCAAACCCTCCAAGCCTGGGTAACTGTCCACTTGGAAGTGCAACTTTCTACACTCAGTGCAGCATTTAAGGCCCGAGTATGTCGCCCCTCTGAGAGTGTTCAACCTGAAACGTCAAGAAATGCATTTATGCTGTTGGAATTTTGAGCAGCTGACATAATATACAAGGAAAAGACAAATTTGGGGAAATGCAGGTTCCTGGGACAACTGAGTCCTGTGAGTGATTGATCCTAACAATTTATATTCCTTACTGAGGAGCCTTCAGTGGACCTCCACCTCCATTCCAGCATAAGTCCCGTCTCCTTGGCCCTTTTTTTGTTTTTTGAGACAGAGTGTTGCTCTGTCACCTGGGCTAGAGTGCCGCGGCATCATCACAGCTCACTGCAGCCTCAAACTCCTGGGCTCAAGTGATCCTCCTGCCTCAGCCTCCAGAGTAGCTGGGACTATAAGCGCATGCCACCACACCTGGCTAATTTTTATATTTTTTGTAGAAATTGGGTCTCCTCTTTCTCAAGCCAGTACCGAACTCCTGGACTCAATCAATCCTCACACCTCAGCCTTCCAAAGTGCTACGATTACAAGCTTGAGCCACCGTGCCTGGCCCTTGGCCTATTTTTAAGGACCTTGATGATTTCGCTCCAATCTACCTTTCCAACCACTTCTTCCAGGGATCTAGGCAAACTGGACACTAGCTGTTTTCCAAACTCGGGTTTTAATCCTCCAACTATTCTTGAAAATATCTTTCTCTCTGCCTCTCTCCTCCCAACTCCCACATCAACATATAATCAAGGGCTATTCATTCCTCAAGCCCTAGCTCAAATGCCTCTTCCTCCAGGAAGCCTTCCTGATCCACATTCCAGAAGTGACCTCATGTGCATGGAGATCCTACCACACCACCTGCCTGTGCCTCACTTCTAGACCTTCTCATTGTCCATCTTCTATTACAGTTACAGCTAGAATAGAAGCTCATGAAAGTTGAGGCCTTGGGGAAATGTATATTAAATCATTTGAAGACTTCTATGAACCAATTCTGAGAAAAAACTAAAATCTCACAAGACAGTACCTGCACAATAAGAGTGTAAAAGCTGACCTGTCCTCACGTCCTTCTGCACCTAACATGGGCGTGGCTTCCTGCAGACCATCAATAAGTGGAGCATGGAGAAAGGCAATGTTCCCAACATTTCAGTCATTTGAGTACCATTTACATAGTTTCTCTGTCTGCGTATGATCCTTACTATTATTCATTTACCATTTTTCTTTACATTGAGTCACCTTTTAAAAACTTTTATAGGCCGGTCGCGGTGGCTCAAGCCTGTAATCCTAGCACCCTGGGAGGCCGAGGCGGGCGGATTGCTCGAGGTCAGGAGTTCGAAACCAGCCTGAGCAAGAGCAAGACCCCATCTCTACTATAAATAGAAAGAAATTAATTGGCCAACTAATATATATATATATTAGCCGGGCCTGGTGGTGCATGCCTGTAGTCCCAGCTACTCGGGAGGCTGAGGCAGAAGGATTGCTTGAGTCCAGGAGTTTGAGGTTGCTGTGAGCTAGGCTGACGCCACGGCACTCACTCTAGCCTGGGCAACAAGCAAGACTCTGTCTCAAAAAAAAAAAAAAACAACTTTTATAGATTTAGAGTGTACTAGCGCAGTTTTGACTCACTTTTAAGAACCTCAATAGATGTATTTTAAAGGGAAACTTTTTATCTCTACTATAATTGGGATGTGAATATCACTTGGAATAAAAAGAAAGTCATAAAATAAATACGAGGATAGAAAATAAATACAAGTATAAAAACAACACCACTATTAAATTCTGGTTGGACATAATTGCTAGCCCAGAGCTCTGTGCTTGAGGCTGCTGTCTCTTTATTAAAAAGGGAGATTAGCAAGTGTTGGACAGGTGTGAAAGGCTCAGCATCAGCAAACCAAGAGTTCCTTCTTCATGCAACCAACAGTAAAGGAACATACAAAAGGAAATACCTTAGTCACCACTGACTCAAAGTTACTCTGTCATTTGCCTTGGGAGACCCTAAAATTTTCTCACTGGGAGAATGGCCAACACTTTTTAGGGGTCGTATATTGGAGAAGATGCTTGCTATGAAATAAGTGAGATGCAAACTTGAACTTGAACTCTGTCACTGAATGGATGAGTGATCTTGGGAAAGTCTACTGTCTCTGAGCCTGACTCATCTCATCGGCAGGATAAAGACAGGACAACCTGCTTTTAGAGGGTCGCCGTGAACTTGGACGTGATGAACATAATGTCCTCCAGTGGCGTACCTGCCACATGGCAGGGTGTTAATAGGCTTGCTATTGGTTTTCCCTGTGGTATTTGGGATCAGTTAAGAGAACTTGTCATCTAAAAGGTCCAAGGTCAAAATTAACCTCGTGACTATTTCATAAGGAAATCTCCATTGCTTTGGAATATCGATATTGCAAATGTCAAGTATTAGGCTTAGACAAATGCCTTGCAGTACAAAACTTGATGTCAAATACTTATTTGGCGAAAACAAAATGACTCCATGATTTCCATTTCTCGTGGAGTTTTGATGATCTTACGACACTTAATTCTCTTGCTAGTAATAATATATTAATAGAAAGTCTCAGACTGGCACAATGTCATGGTGGAATATCGTGTTTTATAAGGGCAATAGAAGCAGAGATGGAGGAGTTAAAGGAGTATATTGGTTCTTATCATTCTAATTAGTTGTACTAAAAAAAAAAAAAAGCCAGAAAGAGTATTTTAAAGAAGAGAAAAATACCATAACTGAAGAAAGAAAAACAGTTATATGAGAAGTACACAAAAATATACTATACATTGGATAATACTGCCATCCTCTGTGATACTGACATGATCTGCTTCAACAAGAGTCTATTTGACTTTTATAGTCAGCATCAGTCAATTCCCTTTGAAAAGAAAAATCTAATTCTTATAGACCCACAAAAATCACAAGGGCCTCAGGACCTACTTTAAGAAATGCCGAGTTCGGGGCATCAGAAGCTGTTAAATTAAAATAGGTTTGCTGCTTGGGTGGGCTGGATGTTCTTTAAGGATGGCATTCTACATACTGCGAATGGCAAGATTACAGGACTGAAAAATCCAGACCCTTACCTTGGCCAGTTCCTTCCCGCCCAGGTGACCTTGGGCAAATGATCTTTAACATTTTTGAGTTTGAACTTCTTCACCTGTAAAAAAAAAAAAAGATTGGATTTTTTTTAAAGTAGGTAAGTCCCTTTTAACTTGAAAATTATGTGAAATTTATTTTAATTGTATTTTTGTTGAGGAGCTCATGACATGTTAAGATTTTCAGAATCATCGGTGTTTGTTATAAAACCAAAGATGCGCAACACTGATGAATCTAGGTGCTTCTGGCCCCAGAGAGAGGATGGTTTAAGAGTCACTGCTCTTAGGGAGCCAGAGCAGAAGATGAGGGAGCAATGAAGGATAAGCCGGATTATCTGGTTGGACTTGACTCTGGATTCTTTTCTTTTGGTTAAACATCTGATAATGTTTAACTCAAACATCTCTTCCTGGTCCCACCTCCCAGAATGGAGAGAGACTGGTGTTCACCCGCAGTCCATGCTGCAGGGAGGGGCAGACTGTGAGGCCAGTGTGGCGATGGCCACAAGATCAGCCAAATGGCACCAAGGACAGGAGACTCTGAGGTCAGGATGGATGACCCAAACAGACCATCCTTCCAGGACTTTGGCAGCCAGCTCTATGCAGCATGATTCGGTATTATTTAGAGAGTTGGTGGATTTCCTTATATGAGCTCCCGACTATCAGACAGTGGTTACTTTTAACCTCTATATTCATAGTGGTCTTGATAAGCACCATGCCTTACATACCTACTGTTAGCAAAACATTATGCCAACCAAGATACCTGTCTATTGAATAAATGAATAAATGAAGCAAACAACGAAATTCCAACACTTTTATTAATATTTGCCTATTAAAGATAAAATACCCAACCAGTCACCAAGTGAAGAGGAATAAATTTCCAGTTCAACCAAAAGGACCTAGTTTGGCTATATGGTACAGAAAAGTAAAATTCAAGTTCTAGTACATCAGCCCAGGACTATGTGTGGCCCCTGGCAGATTCTCTGGACAATAGCAAAAAGACAATTGGTAGAATAAGAAGTACTCAGAGATCAGATACAAAGTCCCAAAACATTTCCATGAAACTCTTAGAAGGGCACTTTATTTTTGCAAGAGTGTATCTTGACAAATGACATTTAGTATTCAACTATTTCTCTCTACAGAGAGAAGTTAAGAAAGAATGAATAATGTGCTCATAATATTTATGTGTGTCTGAGTTCTGTTTTGTCATAATTTGGCATCAAAGACACAATCTTGACAATAGTCCATGTAATATCTGGAAATGCAGCAGCTATTTTGCAACCAAGAGGACAAAAGCCACACAGTAAGGATCAAAGAGAAGAAAAATAGAAGAGCTACAATAGGTCCTGCAAAGCAACTTGATTAACCTTGGACTGTCTAACTTTGGGTTTTGTTTTATAAGAAAATCAGTTTCCTATATGTTTAAGCCACTACTAGTTTGGGTTTCCTGTCATTTGCAACTGAGCATGTCTTAAACAGATACACGTCTTTGTAGAGTTATAATGCTTTAGTGACATTGGATAAAGGGAAGTACTTTGAAAACAAGACCAAGCTCTATGAATATTAATTACTCTTAGGGTAATACCGATGGTAGTGTATGGCTAAGGGCAGATATGGGAAACAAAAAACAAAAAGAAGAAACAAGAATACAGATAATTTCCAAACTGGGTTGACTATCCTTAAATGCCAAGGTTCTTAATCATGAAGAAGAGTATCTCGAATTAGATTTGAAGGGACTATGTAATTACACCATTTGAGAGATAGGCAAGTCACCCTTATTTTACTAGCATATCATTTTCTTAAAGAGACCTAGCATAATTTTTTAGCATAATTTTTTGTGTGTCTCTGTGTCTATTTCCCTTTTGTTGACTTATTACTTTCCTAAATTTTTTTCAAAAAATATCAGAATTTATGAGTATTTATGAAAATTTATGAGAATTTATGAATGAATTCAGAGTATCCATGTTATATATGAATATTTCTAAATAAAATACAAGTAGAAATAATCTCCATATTCTGTATATATGAATATGTGAAAATTTACACCTTTGGTATCAAATGATGAACCAGTTTAGTTATGGGTTAGAAAAATGGAGAAATTTTGGGAAAAAAGTTGGAGCAGCTGTGGCGTAGTGTTTAATCTCCCCAATTCCTGATATAAAAATAGAGCAACTAGATGGACAGACCAAACACCTATGGACAACTTTTATAATTATACTATGTGCCAATTATTCCTGTGAGCCCTGAAATACAAACAGGTGAGCATGAACCACCCCAAAATCACTAGATGTGGGTGGTATCAGTGCCTGTGTAGGAAGAAGCAGAAGAAAGCAACAGGGCATTCGATGAACATGGAAACAGAAGAATCTTAATATAGCCAACACATGTTCATGAGAAAGCAAGGGGACTGGTATGAGCATCGTAGCTAAAACTAGGTTTTGCTCAATGCAATAGGAAGTGAGTGTGAGGGCTCCATAGTAAGAACTGAAAAGATTACAGGCGTCTGGCTCCTCCCAATTTCCAATATTAGTATGTCAGGGATCCCTTTGGACAGGACTCCACATCAATAAAAAAAATGGTAGAAATATAATCAAAATTAAATAGGAGAAAGTGAATAGATACAAATGAAGGAGAATATCCAAATAAACATGGAGAGAAACAGTCAGGAAATATCAGAAAGTGAGTCATCATGGTTTCCAGTACTACACAAGAATATCCAAAGGGGAAATTCTCTAAAGTTACAAAAGCTGCTCTGGACTACACTCTCTTCAAAAAGTTCAGAAAAGCGAATTTTATATAAAAATGAACAGCAATATCATTGCAAAAAGCATGATAAGCAAAAAGTATCAAAGTAAATCCCATATGAAGTTATTATAAGAAAAAAAAAGAGGAAAAGGTGTAGAACAGCATTCTTACAGAAAATAAAAACTTGCGAGAAAAAATAGCCCACAAAATGGATTATAAGTATAAACTTCTATTTTCAACAGAGGAATTTTAAAATTTAAGAGACAATGAGAAAATGTGCAAGACAAAAGACCAATATAAATCAGAATGTAAGAAGCTCAGAAGGGAGAAAACAGAAATAAGAAGAGTAAAATTTTTGAAAATAATTTTCAGAACCGAAAAGTAAACTGGAAGAAACACAAGTATAAATAAATATGACAGATTATGTCTTAAGATAAGTAGATCAAAACAAAGGAAAAAGAAAAAAGAGGTAAAAAGGATTATTTCTTTCAATAAAGTGACAAATCTTTAAGACAGGAAAAGAATACCCAACATAGGGATAATAACAATGCCTGTAAAAGTAAAAACCAAAGCAAGAAAAGAAAACTAATATCAGGCATTATAATTCAAGAAAACTTTCCTGGTGACAAAAAAGATTTGAGATTATACATTGAAAGAGTACAATGCCTGCCTGACAACAGTGACCCACAGCTATTAGTGTCAAGACATACTCTAGCAAAATGATTGACTATAGAAAGAAAGGAAAAAGGAAGGAAGAATAAAAGAAGGAAAAAGGAAGGAGGGAGGGAAGAAAGAAGGAAAGGAGAAAGGGAGGGAGGGAGGGAAGGAGAAAATCCTTTAGACATCTAGGAAAAAGAACGAGAAACTTAGAAAGAAAATTAGACATCAGATATTTCAATGACGATACTTTACACAGCTGAGCCTGTAATATCTTGTCAAAACAGATATCAACAAAACGTTCAAAGACTAGGGTTGTGTGAAAAAGGACTCAAGAGCCAACTTTGAAGAAGCTAACCATGGGACAACTGAAGCTTCAAATGGATAAAAGTTGCAACTGAATGAATTCGATCAAATACGTTTAATTCATGAGCACATAATGACATTTTGTAAATAAACGTTTTATTTTAGAATAGTTTTAGTTTACAGAAAAATTGTGGAGCTAGTCTAGAGAATCCCTACACCTAGTTTCCCCTATTATTAACAGCTTACAGGCGTATGATACATTTGTTGTAATTGCATTTGTTATAATCAATGAATCGATATTGATACATTCTTTTAAACTAAAGTCTGCTGCATGAAGTGTCTCTCCATTTATTTAGATTTTCTCTGGTTTCTTTCATTAGTGTTGCATAGTTTCAACATATAAATTCTATATGTTTTGTTTGATTCATATCTAAATATTTCTTTTCCTTCCCTCCTTCCCTTCCTTCCTACTTTCCTTTCTTTCTTCCTTCCTCCCTCCCTCCCTCTCTCTCTCTCTTTCTCTCTCTCTCTCTCTTTTCTTTATTCTTTTTGGTACTCAGTTTCTTTCTTTTTCTTTTTTCTGATGACAATTCATAATGATATTTCTAAAGAACACTAATTGGTCACCTTTGGGGCTATAAGGAGTCAATGTATTATCTTGAAAATTAGTAAATATGGGTAAATAAGTAACCCTTTATTCCATATTAAGCCTCTATCCCATCTTTCATATATAAACTGTGCCACTGAGCAATCAAATATAGAGAGGAGAAAGCATTTGTTTATATTCATATTTCTATTAAATGAAAAAAAAGGATAGAATTAAAATATTACCATTGTGTGAACCCAAATCAATGAAAATATCTAAGCATTGAATGTCACAGCTGCTAGTATCACAAAAGAGAGATACACACACGCGTGTGCTTCGCTATGAAAGAACACGCCACCAACTGTATTCTTCCCTGACAGATCAAACATGAATCCATTGAAATCCAGAGTCTGGACCATACTTGGGGGTTTATAGCAGGAAAATGGCAGGTAGAGGAACATGCTGGACTCCACCTTGAATTTGCAGTCAGCAAGATCCAGACTGTGGGAAACTCTAAGGCCAAATGGCCTAGGTTCAACAAAAGTAATTAAGGCAAAGAAGAGACTTTAAATTAAATGAATTAAAAGGGACTTTTAAAATGTAAAACTTCTTTAAATTTCTTTAAAAATGAGCGAGAGTAAAGTATAGTGTGTAGGGATGCCCACGCACTATGAGAGTGCCTAATAGAACTCTTAAAATGTAAGAAAGTGACGCTTGTACAAGTCAGGATCGTGGGTGGGGAATGACATTATGATCCAAATGGGGCAGAGAAAAAGGTCGCCTAGGGTGGCTGGCAGTCATATTTCTCCTTCTGAGTACTGATTGCAAGGATGCTTATCCTATAATAACCTTTTAAAGCACATATTTTTGCTGTGGCACGTTTATTTTTCTTTCTTACTTTATTTTAAAACATTTAACCCAAAATAGAGAAAGAAGAATAAAAATGGAGTATCCTAGTTTTCAAGAAAGCCCGAGTCAGTGATAAGCAAGTTACATACACTTATGAGTCATGAATATGAAGTTAAACATTTTTACTTCAAATAGGAGCCAACACTATTGAATTAGGTTTACAGCAACTCTCTACAAGATACATGTAGATCATTGCTATTCTGAAATTCTCAATGGATTATTTGTTATACTGCATTGTAACAATTATTCAGAGAAATTAGCAAATGCAAGAAAAAAGAGAAAGAAATGAATGCAGCAAAAGGCCCTAGATTCAGCAGCCTGTCCTGTTTGTGCAAAGCTCACAGTCTAGGAGATTTTTCAAAAATCCGACAAAGTTGAAAACATCTCAAGTGCAGATGATCAAAGCCCTTCCTGTGGGATACTCCTTCATAATTGAATCATGCAAACTGCTGGGAAATTTATACCCAGCCTACATTTTCTGTGATGTTAACCTATTATTCCTGCCCCCTCGTGTACTTATATTATTCTCAAAGATATCTGTAAATAGTCCCTTACCTTCTATTTTACCAGTCAAACAAACATGTACAGGAGAAGTTGAATGCATAAATAGTCTCTGCTCATATATTTGCAGTTCAAAAGATTGGCCCACAAAGGGGAAAACTAGAGTTGAAATTTTCTCTTTAGAAGTCTTTAGACATTCACAGCAGCAGAGACAAAAACATTCATTACAGAAGAAAGACTCAGCAGTTTTATGTATGCCATGGGCAAGGACTACTGCACTATTTTTTTTAAGACTGGTTATTATTTTGCCAGATCTTACAAATGCATGATCATTTGGATCTTTTTAGAGGTGGGCAAAGCCGTATTCTGGTTTTGGGTGTCTGATGATCTTCTCTTGAAATGGATTCATCTTTTGCGTTAGTATTTAACCCAGACCTGAGCCAATGCCTTCCATTTCATCGATGGAGAAACTGAGGCCTAGAGAAATGAATGTGCTCTCCCAAGATCAAATGGCAGATAGTCAAAACCAGGATTTGAGTGCAGAGTTCTTACCTTGACCTTTTCTATAGCTTCTGAGCAAAGGTAAGCTAAAAGATATTTGCCAGAGTAAATATCTGGGGACAGGGGTGGGGTTAGGGAAGCAGTTAAGAATTTCAACAGTAAGGGGTTGGTCTCGGGGCACGTAATCCCCTAGGTATTAGGAAGTGCAAACAGGCGGCCTCCTTGGACTCTCAGGAGTGAGAAAGCCTAGGGAACAGATTTTCAGAGATGACCCAAGGTCCTATCCTTTAGTGATTAGGTAGTTCAGGACCATGGCACTACTGGGGAGTAAACGCTCAGTGTAACCAGGGAGGAAGCAGACACTAGAATGAAGGCAAAGGAAGGAGATCTGTCCCCGTGTGAAGGTTTTATATTAGTGGTGATAAAAAGGATGCTGTTGTTCATAGCCAGTTCCGTTTCCCAGGACCAACTTGAATACCAAAAGATCCCGGGTAGACGTTGAGAGAGTTTGGGGTCAGCCGGCTGCTGCCGATTGGTGTTATCTGAATAACTAAAAGACAGTATTTCACCAATCTCTTTCAGTTGCTGAAACATTTTTTTTTTAATTATGTATTACCCAACTGTGACAGCTTTCTGAGACCACAAACAAAAAAAGTAATAATTTTGCTTCTGTCAATATGGTGTAATCTTCCTTCCACTCCAGGGTGTCCAGAAATCAAAATGTTATCAGTGGGAAAATTGCACATATTCAAATCTTTCCAACTTTAATGTTTTTCCAAAGGAAACGACATCATTTATTTCCCTGTACTTTGGAAGCAACCAAAAATCCTCCAGGTCAGAACTAAACAGCTGCAATTAGCCAACTCATTTGGACAAATGGGGGAGGGGAGGGTCTGTTTGCCCAAATTACTCAAATTACTGAAACTTTGTGGACTTGGCCCTCAAAACAGCATCAGCCTAAGTCTGAATGTTGGTGGTTATTCTGCTAAAGGAAACGATATATTACACTATGTAATTTGGGGAGATGGTCTTTTTTCTTCTTTTTTGACATTAGATCGATTGGAAACCCGTGGCAGGAGAATTCCACATGGGTAAGGCAAAAGAGATCCAATTAAGTAGGAAAATGCTAACAAGCTGCCTGAGCGAGCTCTGAGGCATGCCGGGACAGGACATGTCCACAAAGAAAATATTAATTTTAAGCTCAAAGAAAAAACTAAAAATGGGAATTTAAGGGAGGGGGGAGAATAAGAAAAAAGTGTCAGGATATTTATATAAACTGTCATTCCTGTGTTTTCATGAAGGCTCATGCCCTCTAAGCGGTCAATCAACACTCTCTGATCACAGCCTTTGCTGTCTGATTGAGTGGGGAGATGTCAGCCAAGGAGAAAAACATGTGGAAAATCTGTTAACCATGTGTGTCATTCCTGATGTCAACATGCAAGGAAATACAGGAGAGGGCTAACATTTGTGCATTTCCACGCCGGCCTCAAGAATGGGGGAGAGCACCGTTGGCTTTTAAAAATGTCTATTTATTATTGCCATTGTTGCTGTCGTTAGCATAATGATGATGAACATGCACAGGATTCAGCGTTAGCCCAAAATAAAAAAAAAAAAAAAACAAGACCGGCTGGTACCTGGGGACTGAGGCAACACCAACAACATGTGTGTGAATAAGGGTTTGGGAGTTTACCTTTGGATTTCTAGCAGTGGAGAGCTGAAGACAGAATCCGTTTGGAAACACTGGGGATTGTTTGCTGGTCTCACTGAAAACCTCTGTCCTGAAAGGGTGCAGAATCCAAGATAGCTCCAACCCAAAAGGTGGATGAGAGCACTTGCGGCAGTTTTGCTTGGGGGACGGTGTGTCGGCAGGTGTGCGGGGAGAACAGTGGGCCGGCGCTCAGAATGGAGTTCAGGCCGGCGCGGCATGTCCACTTAACCTGGGTGGCCTTGGACAAGTCACTGAACCTTCTGAGCCTTGGTTTCCTGCGGGGTGAAAGGCTTGGCCTAGAGCCGCGCTTCCCACAGCACGGCCTAGCCACCCATCACCCGGGGAGCTTGCCAACTGCAGCTGCGGCTCAGCGGGCCCGGAAAGGGACGGGGACCTGGGACTCTGCATCCTAGCAGGCTCCCAGGTCGTGCCAAGGCTGCCGGCCACCACCGCCCACGGCGCCGAGCTTGGGTGATGCTGACAGTGGACGTCCGTCGCTTTGGGCACGCAGCGTCCGTCCAATGCCTCCTTCTCTAAGATGGCACCCGCTTTCCTTTTAGAGAACCGCACTTCCTCTTCCTCAGCCAGGGCGGGGCCTGCGCCTCAGGCCTAGCCAATCAAGACGCTCTGTCTCTGTGATTGGTTCACATGTGAGCACGTGACTCCTGCCTGGCTTTTGCTGCCAAAGTGATGTTCTCTTAGCTGGGAGACTCAACTAGAGCCAGAGTGTTAGCAGTCAGGGACGCCGAGAAGCCATTCTACGACATTGTGGCAAGGCACGCCTGACAATAAAGCTAACACAGAAGAAAGCAAAGCCCAGCAGACCCGTGACATCCTTTGAATCCCCAGATACGGCCACACCTGGAGACAGATGTCCCCGGCTCCTTCGGTTACATGAGCAGGTCACCAAGGTAATAGCTACCGACATGACACTCATAAATCTCATCTGTCCTTTCAACATTTTCTCCGTCACTCTCCCAGTCTAGGCCAGAGGTCAGCAACTTTTCTGTGAAGAGCCGGCTAGTACATACCTTAGGCTTGCAGAACATGCAGTCTCTGCAGGAGACTCTGGTCGCTTCTGCTATTGGAGCATGAAAGCAGCCATAGATAGACAATAGGTAAACAAATATTCCAAGAAACTCTATTAAAAGAGGTGCACAGCCTGCAGGCCACGGTTTGCCGACCTCTGGTCTACACAGGCACTAAAGCCCTGGTTTGTAGTATTTGCCAGTTTCCGTGGTACAGACACTCCCACCCCAGCGGATTTCATGCTCCAGTGCAATGTCGCCAAATGCCAAGCCGGGAAGAAATGAGCTCTAACTCCCCATTACGCTGTCTCTCTGCCACACAGGTACAGCAGCCACAACCTCAAGATCAGAGATAATAGCAAACTGCAGTAAAATAATCAGGGAGTGATAAGTTTTAAGTATTGACTATCTTTGTCTTGATGTAATTTCTTTAATTGTAAGTTTATAAATTTGCCTTTGAATAATAGCTTTGTCTAACCCAGTTAACAAAATTTTGGAAAAGTTAGCAGTCCGCCTTTGGGAGGGAGTACAGTCTGGCTTCAGTACATAGTAGCACCCTCTGTAATGATTTTTAAATATAGTCAGAAACCACAGAATGATGTTTCGATCAACGACAGAATGATGCTAGTCAGAGCCATGGGCTGTACCCTGTGGCCTAGGTGTGCAGCAGGCTACACCATCTAGATTTGTGTAAATACACCCTATAATATTCACACAACAAGGAAATAGCATTTCTCAGGACACAGCCCCATCATCGAGCCACCCCGTGACTGTAGTTCAAAAGTAAAAACAGAAAGCCAGGGTCCAAAGATATAGCAATAGCAGATCAAAGTTTGGACAGGGATTAACGACGTCTTCAGGAATTGCAGTTTAAAATTCCAATGTATTAGACAAGTCCTTTTTGAAATGGTAATGCCTTGTACCTGAGTAGAAAAGACAATTAAGATAATGTGTTAATTTTCCTCTTGAATCTGACAGTAATATTTTGATCCTGTTAATTATCCAGAGAACAGAAAATATATATAATGTGATAGCTCTGTGCAGAGTTGACATGCTTGCTGCCTGGTTAAGTAGGCACGCTTATCCTATAATTAGCTGCTTGGAATGCAATTTCCATTCCTTCCTAAATATACCGACGAAAAAATAAACCGATGTAGCATTTCAGAGCTACTCCAGCCTGGTTCTCCCCCTGGGAAAGCAGCCAATGATTATTTACTAAAACTTAGCCTCCTTTCAAAACTATCAGAAAACAGCAATCCATTTGCTAACGATTTCTGGCAGGTGAGGGTTAATCAATGCCTTAAGAACACGGAAAGAACATGTCATTATAGCCCCAGCATGCTCTCCTTCTCCGAAGGATAAACTTATCGATGTCACTAACTGGGCATTTTAATGAGAGTTCATTACAAAAGGGCAACCTTCTCAGTGGGCAAGTAAATCCATAAGCCGGGGGGGAAAAGTGGACCCAGAATTATTTTCATCAACTGGGAAACAGGGCTTTCTACATACTATTATGAGACTCAGGACATTACGTTCTTCTGAATGGAAATCATGGCCAGTTTAGTTGTACATTAGATGCCTTATATTTACTCTTTCAAACAACACACTCCCTGTATTCATCCAGAGAAACAGAGTTGGTAGGACGTACAGAGATATGTAGAAAGCGATCTTTATTATGGGAATTGGCTCACATGATTGTGGAGGCTGAGAAGTCCCATGATCGGTCCTTTGAAAGCTGGAGCCCCAGGAAAGCCAGAGCTGTGATTCCAGCCCAAGCCCAAAGGACTGACAACCAGGGCAGTCAGTGGTGTAAGTCCTGGTCTGAGTCTGAAGGCCAGAGAACCAGGAGCGTCGCTGTCTAAGGGCAGGAGAAGATGGATGTCTCAGCAAAGCAGAGGGGGTGAATCCACCTTCTTCAACCTTGTTCTTCCATTCAGACCTTCAACAGACCGGCTGATGCCCACCACATTGGTGAGGGGGATCTTCTTTACTCAGTCTACCGATTCAAGTGCGAATCTCTTCCAGAAACAGACACACCCAGAAAAAATGTGTCACCAAGTATCCGTGTATCCCTTAGCCCAGCCATAAAATTAACCATGGCACTGCCTCTCCTCTCCAGGAAAGCTTATAATGGAGATGAGGACTTTGGCTAGGATGGTGGCATTTAGTTTATTACATAATCTTAATTTATAACTACCCATGGCATTTTACATGTTCTATAAAAGCACAAATCATTGCTATCTTGTTATATTCCCATCACGTGTCTGTGCTTATTACAATCTCCTCTGGTATTTTAAGCAAGTGCATAAGCATAAAAATAATACTAGGCTTGGGGAAAAAAACATCTAGGACCAGGTTCAAACTTATTCTGTCTCTAATTGTGGGGCCTGAAAAATGTATGTAAGTTCTCTGGCTTTTAGGTGGCCATATCTGTAAATAGGGTCATTGGACCATCAAGAAAGCACTTTCTAAACCACTCAAGGGTAAGGGATTGCTAATTTTGCCTTTTTGCCTTTGAATCCCTGCACAGTGGGCCTGATTTTTAACGAATACTCACAGATATGCAGAATTGATGCACATGCATTCATTCACACATCCCTTCCTTTAATAATCTTCAGACTTCAGAAGAGGCTGTGTTAGTGCAGAGCTTAAGATCAATTGCTCTGGGGAGCCTGACTGCATGGGTTTGAAGCTCAGCTCTGTCACTTATTCAATAGCTATGTGACCTTGGGTGACATTACTTAACATCTCTAGACCACTGTTCCTCATCTATAAAATGGGAGGTGTCTTAACTCATTTTGTGTTGCCATAGCAGGATATCTGAGACTGCGTATTTATAAAGAAAAGAGGTTTGTTTAGCTCGTGATTCTGGTGGCTGTAAAGTCCAAGATCAGGCAGCTCATCATGCTGTTCCAACTCATGGTAGATGAAAGCAGGAGGAGAAGTGGGTGTACCCAAAGAGACGTGCAGGAAAGACTGGGCTTGTGTAAAACAACTTGCTTTCTCTAATGCTGATCTTTTCCTATAAAAGGGCATTAATCTGTCCATGAGGGATCCGCTTCCATGACCAAACACCTCCCACTAAGCCCCACCTCCTTACACTACCACATTGGGGATCAAATTTCAACATGAGTTTTGGAGGAGACAAACCACATTCAAACCACAGCAGAGGGTGATAACAGCTCTTCATTGGATTGTTATGAAGGTAAAATGAGTTAACATAATAAGCAAATTTCTTAGAACGGTGCCTAACACAAAATTAGCGCTATGTAAATATTAACTATTATTACTTTCATCGTGATAGAAAATTTACCAAACAATATGGTACATTCCATGTTCCATACTCAGCATTTAATATTTCACAGGCCTATTTCTCCTGGGAATTATAATAAGAAGAAAATGTCATTTTTGCCTCGGTATGCAGGCTTTAATTTAGTTGCCTCCCCAAGCCCTTGGTGACCATTTATTCCTTTTCTCTCCTCTGTGGCTGGGCTCTGCTCTTGGGAGCAGTTGCAAGGAGCACAGGTGGGCTCCTTGGGCTCCTAGCCAAAGTCCTCATCTCCATTATAAGCTTTCCTGGAGAGGAGAGGCAGTGCCATGGTTAATTTTATGGCTGGGCTAAGGGATACACGGATAATTGGTGACACATTTTTTCTGGGTGTCTGTTTCTGGAAGAGATTCGCACTTGAATCGGTAGACTGAGTAAAGAAGATCCCCCTCACCAATGTGGTGGGCATCAGCCAATCTGTTGAAGGTCTGAATGGAAGAACAAGGCTGAAGAACAAGGTGAAGCCCAAGGGATTGGGCTGTGCTGGTCTCTGTCAATAATGGCAACAGGGGAGGACCAAGTGGAGCAAGCAGTGCTGAGGTTGGGGCATAACAGGAACATTGTTTAGTAGACCAAACAGTTCTCTTTTAATCCCCATACATGGGCTTCTCCCATGTCACAGACTGGGTGAGGACAAGAAAGAGAGAAGTCTGGCTGCTGTCCCGGGCCCTTTCTTGTACCGAAGTCCAAGCTCTGCCTCTCTGGACAGGTGGGTAATTGTTCACCCTCCCTTCTGGGGAAGTGGGAAGGGCATCTTCAGCCCCTCCTCTGGGGCTCTGCACCGTTAGGGAGACAGTTCATCATTTACACATCTACGAAGGCAGGTGCACATGCTCACGCATTCAAGCATTCATTCATTCCTTCCTCATGAATGCTCATGCATTCATTCATTCATTCCTCCACCTTCTCAGATACTCTCTCACCCAAATATTCCTTCACTCTAGAGATTTTTCTTCAATCACCTATTCATTCCAACACTGAGTGGACATCTTCTGTGCACCAGGCAACAATCTAGCATCTGGGAATAGAATAATGATTAGAAAAAACTCTCTGTCCGTATGAAGTTCACATTCTAACAAGCTTTCAGGTCATGCCAAGGCTGGAGAAATATAGACCAGGCTCAGAGTAGCAGGTAGCCAACCGTAGAACTCCTTCCTTCCACACTCTGCTCTCTCAAAACTAAAACGTGTCTTCTCATGTCCTGTCTTCTCTTCTCCCATCTCTCCATGTGACGCTTGGTGCTAGGGTATATCCAAACATTATCAGGCACGGGGCACAGTCCTGGTCAGCTAAGCATTTCCCCCGCCTACTCTTCCTTAAACACTGCGTCACAAAGAGGAGACAGAAGGATGATGCTTTTTCTCTCTCAGAAGAATTGGCATTTTAAACATATTCCTTACTGTGCATTTAAAGTCCTCATCTTCTAACAGAGGAGTCAGATGAGAGTATTTTTAGGACAGTGGGAGCCTGGCAGATACTCCTAAAATCACACCCTTCCTGCAGTTCTTTATTCTTCATTCATTCATCGAACAAACATTTGAGTGCCCACTTCCTGCTGAGTATAGTGAAATC